ACTTTCTAATTTTGAAGAGAACTTAAATTTATTTATCAACGACATGATGCAATTAACCAAATTGCATCATGTCGCATATCATTCGATTCGGCTGATCACAAGGAACACAATAACGCCATTTTTGAAGCTCTAGCCTCATTGTTTGCTGCCTAAATTATCAGGGCCTCGGCTAAGGAATTTTGACTGGTGGGCCACTTGGGCAGCGACATGGACTGACCTTCGTAGCCATAGCCCCACCCAATTTTCGATTTCTTCCCAGATTTTGGCCACTTTATTCTGCAAAAAACGTCAGGATGGCATTCAAAAAATGTATAAAAAACGGGGCTCGACCCCCCCCCCCCCCCCGACTCTTCTGAGAGAGAGAGAGAGAGAGAGAGAGAGAGAGAGAGAGAGAGAGAGAGAGAGAGAGAGAGAGAGACAGAGAGAGAGAGAGAGAGAGGAGAGAGTAGGGACCCACAACCCTCTCAGTGGTGATACTCCCGCGGTGCACATAAAATCGCACAAGCACGGAATATATAGTCTACGACATATCGTAGTACATATCGACATATCGACATGTCGTAGACTATATATTCCGTGGCACAAATATGCACACAATATTGACGCAGATTATAAAACTTTGGACGATAACTTACGGCCGTGAGTGGATCGCTCGCCGACTAGTCGGAGATTCGGAAGCGGTCGGACGGGATCGGGCGTTGTTGGGTGGATCGGGAGGAATTGTGAACAGCACGAGTGCAACTTTATATATAAAGTGGGTTGTAGCAGGAACCCCAAAAGGGGGTTGTAGCAGCAACCCCAACATCTCTGAAAATGATAATTAAGCCTATTGGTGTCGCATGGAAAATAATTGACTCAAAAGCCCAAGCGCACTGCGCAACCCTGATATTTTCTTTAAAAAAAAAACTAAGTTATGTACACGTTCACTTCTGGTGAACAGTGTCCCAAACTTCAGATTTCTCTTGGGTGTCTGAGTGGAAAATTCGAGCCACCCAAAATGTGAGAGTGGAAAATTATCCATTCTTATTCTTGAGTGTCATTTTCCGCCCAAATGAGAAATTTTTGGAACGCTGACTGTGAACGGTTCGAAATTCGTCCAACTGGTCAGATGTGTGACTGCAAGCATCATACCGGTTGTCTCGAATTCTATATTTGTATCGAGTTTCAAACAATATCTCAATAATCTCACACGTCCACACGTGTCCAAACCAAGACGAACAATGAATGCTGTGCGCCACTTTCCATACGGCACACGCCACACGGCACAACACAATACCACTAAATTCACTGCAAACTGCACAAGAAACAACGCACCTAAATTGAAACTCATATTCCGTAACATCCTCCCGGCCTTTGAAGCCTCACGCTTCAAACGAACTCAGTAGGCTTTACTCGGGTCTCATCACTCAATCAAATCAGATAACAGTCAATCCTTAAATGCCTAACTAATATTAAGCACGTCGAGAGTGGGTGCAAACGAGCAGGAAGAACAGAGGAAGACTAATGAACAGGATCTCGTAGGACACAGGATGGATGCCTGAATCCTGGCACTCAAATCTCCCAGCTCACCAGCGCAGGCTGCATGACCTCCAGATCACAGAGGCGCTGGACCGCCCGAGTCCTAAGACCACGCTGAGTCCGAACCTCGGCCGACCGTATCAACCCGTCCCGCCCTGGGAATAGCTTGGTGACCCTTCCCAGAAGCCACCTCATCCGGGGAAGGTTCTTCTCCTCCCTGACGAGAACCACCGAACCTATCTCTAACTTACCCTTTGACTTAAACTTGCGTACAGAAGGTGGGATATTCCGCAAGTACTCAGCACTCCAAACGGACCAAAACCGATTCAGTCTCCTTTCTCGCACGCGGGCTCTCTCACATAGTGCCCTCCCTGAGACATTTTCCGGATCCTCCAGCAATTTCGCTTGAAACCCGGCACCTCGCCCAATCAGAAAGTGACTAGGGGTGAGGGGGTTATCGCTGTCAGCCTCGTCACTCACCAGTGTCAGCGGGCGGGAGTTCACTACAGACTCGACCTCCGTCAAGACCGTCTCAAGTTCAATCCTTGTCAAACACCTAGTGCCCAGCGACTTGCGTAGGCCCACCTTCACGCTGCGAATGAGCCGTTCCCACCAACCACCCCACCATGGGGAAAGAGGCACAATGAACCGCCACTCAGGTGCCAGACGACCGAAAATACTCTGCAGTCGAGATTCTGCGCCCTTGAAAGTGGGCGCGTTATCAGAGTATATCACGCTAGGCATGCCGCGTCTCGCTGCAAAGCGTCGGAGGGAAAGCATAAATGCGGCCAAAGACAGACCCTCTGTCATCTCGAGGTGCACAGCGCGTGTGACTGCGCACGTATACAAGCAAACGTAAAACTTCTTCTTGGGCATATCAACACAAAATACAGGCCCCGCAAAATCGACCCCAGTCACTGCGAACGGTGGGGCCTCTGTAACTCGGTCGCGAGGCAGAGGTGCTGCTGTCTGGTTACAGAGCCGTGCGTCGTGTCTTTGACACACAACACACATTCGTTTGACACGCTTGGCCAGAGGCCGTAGTCCTACCACCCAGAACTGTTCCCTCATGGCTGTGATCAGTGTAGAGACACCAGCGTGTCCCATCTGCAAATGCTGGTCACGGACAAGAAGCTCCGACAAACGTGACTTGGGTAGAAGTATCGGATGTTTCTCACCGTAACTGAGCTCAGACATCTGCAGCCTGCCCTTGATACGCAAAAGCTGATCATCATCCAGGAACAAGCCCAGCTTTGCGACACTGGATATCTTGGGAATTGGCTTACCCTGTCTCAGGGCACTGATCTCCTCAGCATACGACTCAGACTGAGTGACCCTGATCAGATCCATTTCAGCCCTTTTCACCTCGTCATAGGCAAGATCAGGGAGCAGACACTTCTCACTGGGAAGTCTGCAGTTCCGCGCAAAACGGCGGACCCAACCAATCACACGAACTGCCTTAGAAAAGCTGCTCCAGCGCGAGACATCAAACACCGGCTGATGTGACGACGGCTCGTCTGACGTCAGACAGACCGTATCTTCCTTTCGCTCCTCGACGGGAGAGCGATCTACGAAGTCATCCTCGACAGGTTCTGACCCTTCTCCCGGCCGTGCCAGCCAGTCTGGCCCTCGAAGCCACAGGTCTGACTTCACGAGATCGCCCGTCGCGATTCCTCTCGTTGTGAAATCAGCAGGGTTTTCACCTGACGAACAGTGAGCCCATTCACTTGGACCGACCAAACTCTGAATTTCGACCACTCTGTTCGCAATGAACTGTTTCCAGCGACCTGGCTGAGACCGAATCCATCCAAGAGCGATCATGGAGTCGGTGTAGCACCTCAAGGTCGTTGACTTCGGGAGGCGCAGTGCTTCACGTACAAAGCAGACCAGGCGCGCCGCCAACAAGCAACCCAGAAGCTCTAAACGAGGCAAGGTGACAGGCTTCAAGGGAGCGAGTCGAGCCTTTGCCATCGCGAGCGACACATCTGCGCCACCATCGTCACGAACGGTACGCACGAACACAGCACAGCCGTAGCCCTTGGGGCTCGCATCTCCAAATGCGTGAAGTTCGACACGGCGTCCCTCATTCCAGCCATCACTGGAGTAGCAGCGGGGAATAGAGAAGTCTCGCAGACCGTTCAAATCCCTGACCCAGACGGCGAACTTATCAGCGATCTCTGAGGGCAACACTTCATCCCAATCAACACCAAGAGACCACAGTGACTGAAAAAGGACCTTGCCTGCCATCACCACCGGGCAGATGTAGCCCAGCGGGTCAAACAGACGCATGAGCACGCTCAAGACCAGACGTTTCGTCACGGATAGATCTGACGGAAGGCTAACTCCTTCGTAAGAGAAAGCATCTTCCACTGGGGACCATCTCACACCGAGCACCTTGACACAAGATCTTTCACGGGATGTCTCAGCAGTCGGAGTCTCATCGAACACCACCGCGCTGGCAGAGGTGGGAACCAGATTCATGCCAGCCTCGCTCAGCACTGCCTGCGCGCCTGTCAGAAGTTGGCGTGCCTCCTGTTCTGTGTCCTGACCAGACACTAGATCATCAACATACAGATTCTCTGATAACTCGCGAATGACCACACACGGCTGATACCTGGACAAGTGAAACCGGATGGTGGCGTTCAACAAGAAAGGTGAGCTCGACACACCAAACAGCACTCGCTCTGACCTCATCACACGAGTCCTGTCTCCCACTCGAAACAGAAACCTGTGTACGTCCCTGTCCTCTTTCCGCAGCTTGACTTGGAGGAAAGCCTTCCTTATGTCACCAGTTACAGCAAACTTCCAACGACGGAACCTCAAGAGAACCTCTGGAAGGCTCTGAATCAAGTTAGGTCCCACCTCAACGCAATCGTTCAATGACACGCCGTTACTATCACAAGCAGACGCATCAAAAACTGGGCGGACCCGAGTGGTCTCACTGGACTCCTTCACCACCGGGTGGTGTGGGAGATACCATACCACACGGGATTGTCAGTCACCAGTTCCTCATTTGGAACCTCAACAATGACTCCACACTCCTCAAGCTCCTTCAGGGTACCCTCATACGCATCCCTGAGCGCCGGATCCCTGTCCAATCTCCGACTCAAACTCTGGAGTCGGGACTCAGCGAGGCGCCTGTTGTCGGTAAGTCTACCTTCGGAACCCTCTTTCCAGGGGAGAGCCACCTCATATCTACCATCAGTGAACCGCACAGATTCATTGAACTCCTGCAAGACATTGGACTTAGAATCTGCCGACTCTTCAACTTCACAGATCCCTATGCCCTCCAGCGACCACATGCGACGGAGAGAGTCTGAGTGAAGCTCGCCTACACATAGGAGCTGACACTGATCGTGAGCAGTACTGCCAACAAGTGGACCCGATAGAACCCACCCCAGGGTAGTTTCCTGAGCAATAGGACCCCCGTCCACCCGAAGACAGCCGTTGCGCATTACCTCCCAGTAGTGGTCCATACCCACGAGCAGGTCAATTTGCAGCTGGTCACGTGAGCAGGGAGGGTCAGCCAGATTCAGGGTGGCCAGGTGGTTCAGGTCAGCGGCTGGAATCACCGGCCGCCGGAGAGGAGCGCAGATGACAGGCACCATCACAGCTCGCACAGACTGCTGGAGAGGTGGACAGGCATGAGTACCAGAAAACACAACACTGTACACATTCCTATCCTTAACACAAGATGTACTTCCACCAAATGAGGCAAAGGACAGTTTCTCAGAACCAATCTGCTCTGGCTGTACTCTACGAACAAGATTCTCAGACACATAGGACCTGCTGGAGCCACTGTCCAAAATGGCAGTGGCTTGCACCTTCAGACCACTGACCGGACTAATCACATCAATTTTTGCAGTTGGCAAAAGAGTACAGACACCGCCACTGGCTTCATCAGTCCTACATGACAGAGTTGCCTGTTGAGCATCATTCATCACACTACGACTCTGACCAATGTGAGGCATCAGTGGAGGCTCAGCAGGAGGCACCTGAGGGGGGCCATGTTTCTGGTAGCAGCAAAGCACTGAGTGTCCTCCACCACAATGAGAACATTTGGCAGCACATGACCTGGCACGATGTGACTTTGAAAAGCACTTAAAGCATACACCCGAGTTCTTTATGTAAACCTGTCTTTCGGGCAGCGAAAGCTTGAGCAGTTCTCTACAGTTCAAAGAGCTGTGCCCACTTTTAGCACAGAAGACACATACCACCTGTGGTGAAGTGAGAGCTGCACCTGTCTGTATCCTCTTCCTCCTTGTGCGGCTCTCGAGCGGTGTAGAACTCACAGGAGCGGATGCAGGTGCCAAGGAACTGGACCGCTCCCTCCTAGAGATCTCTGTATCCAAGAACGATAACAGCCAATCAAGGTCGTTTTCTTTGCCAACACCATCACGGGCCCACTCAAGCCTGATGGCTGTGGGCAGCTTCTGCAGTATCACTGGCACCAACACTACACCATACTGCTCACCCTTCACATCCAATGCTTCCAAACTGCGCACATGAGACAAAAGTTTGTCCTGAAGGGACCGAAGAGAGCTCACATCTGGCACTGAAAGTTCAGGCAAAGCGAGCAGCTGCTGCACATGATTGAAAATAATCACTTCTTTGCGTCCAAATCTATCACTCAATATCTTGCAGGCAGCACTGTAGTTCCTTCCGATTAAAGATTCCTTCCTTCCACACACTGAGCCGCCTCACCAGTTAGAAGCGATTTAAGATATGCCAGCTTTGACACATCGGCAAGTTCACTCTGGTCGACTGCTGCAGAGAAGAGTTCCCAAAAGGACTGCCACTCAGTTACACTGCCTGAGAATTTTGGCAGCTCTAGCTTGGGTAACTTCGTCGTTTCTCTGTCACTTAAGCTAGTCGATGACCGAGCTTCTTGCTCATCTGAGAGCTTTGACACCTTATCAGCATGACTGAGCACTGCCATAGCTTCTTCTCGAAGCTCTGCGGCTTTTAAGATGTCACTCATCATCTCTTCTTCGGTTTCGAACAAAACCTCTACCTGAGACTGTACGTCATCCAATGTCATCAGACGTTTTTCACAGTCACTCTTTGCCAATCTCACCAAATCAAGGTCAAATCGCTCACCTTTGACCTCAAGGGTCTCTTTGAGCTTTGAAACTGCTCTGTTTAGCCAGCCTCGAGCGGCAGTTCTCTTCCTTAAAGGGACCCTCCCACCTTAACATTAGTTTTGAGTTGAGATAGCCAAGTTTGCGGCCAAGCTCAGAAACCACCATTTATCCTGGTCGCAACCCCCGCAGCTTTATGGTGTTCAAGAAATTTCTTCCCTTTACTTGCAGGGTGGGACCAGCGTGGTCCCTATCTCTTAACCATTACGGGAATCTGATGACGTCATCAGGCTTTCGAACGTCCGTTAAATGTTTGACTAAAACGTTTTGTAGCACGCGGTGGTATATGCTGCTTTGCGCGCAACAAATGCCGCACTTTCAAATAAAGTCGCTAGGAACAGCGGAGATCCCAAAAAGTAAACAAAAGTAAAAGTCTAATATCTTGAAAACCGGTGAATATTTTTCGATGAAATTTGGTAGATATTCGTTTTTGCTCTTTCTGAACCGAGCGACATCACTTTTATGCCAATTCATTAACTTTTTTGAAGGTGGGAGGGTCCCTTTAACAAGATCATCTTTTCTTCTGCCATCTTCAAAATCTAGTTCAACAATACTGGCAGTTAAATCAAGAGATCAAGATATCACAACTTAATCCGAAGGTCTCTTCCCATTCCCGGGTTTCGGCACCAATGTCTCGAATTCTATATTTGTATCGAGTTTCAAACAATATCTCAATAATCTCACACGTCCACACGTGTCCAAACCAAGACGAACAATGAATGCTGTGCGCCACTTTCCATACGGCACACGCCACACGGCACAACACAATACCACTAAATTCACTGCAAACTGCACAAGAAACAACGCACCTAAATTGAAACTCATATTCCGTAACACCGGTCGTAAAGACGCATAATATCGCTTGCAGACTTCAATCGGCTGGAAGTCACCGACACTACCTCTAGTATGACTCTGGCTTATATCGTGTCTATCGGCGAGCCGTCTGAGATCGCTCGCAGGCTTATCCCCGACCGTCTGAACTGGTCTGTTCTTTAAGGCCGTGTTACACTGCCGAATTTTGGCCACGACCCTGTCGCCGAATCACGTCGTGTAGGAAATTGGCGAACAGTTCACCGACAGAGGCGAACAGTTCGCCGACAGAGTCCGATTCGCAGACAACGGGTGGGGGGCCCCCCTAATCGTGCGCGGGTCGAAGCTGATCCATGATTCGGCGAACATCGCGAATGAATGGCGAATCTGTTGCGAATAGTCGGCGATACCTTGGCAACAAGTCGGCGCACGTAGCGACATGTCGGCGGTGACTCGGCGAGTGTTTGGCGATCATGTTCGTTTATTATAAGTTCGGCGAACGGCCACGAAATTTTCATTTTTCATGAAATATTCGTGGCGGTCGTGACGAACCGTAAAAGTCGCGCGGTGGGCACCGACTGGTCTGCGAAATGCCAAGACAGTGGAAGAAAGATCCCGAATCGATCCGCGACATAGGATGACTTGCATATTCGTGCACATTCGTGTACCAAAATTCGGCAGTGTAACAAGGGCTTTATTCGTAGTTTTTCTTGTAACCGACTGGTCTGCGGCAGATGCTTATGTGACTGCAACCACTCGATCGATCGGAAAGCTTGCAAGAACTCTCGCAGACCTCGATCGGCTGGAAGCCGCCGACACTATCTGTAATTGACAGAGGCAGACGTCTTTCGCGATTATTGCATAAAATTTAAAGCCTCGGTCACACTTCACCGGATTGGACCAACGGACGAGAAACGGACGAGAACTGTCAGCGTCCGGTGATGTCCGTTTGTTTCCGTTGGACGTCCGTTTGTCATCCGTTAATATCCGTTCCATGTCCGGTGGTGTCCGGTTGAGCACACCGGACACCACCGGACATGGAACGGATATGAACGGATGAGAAACGGACGTCCAACGGAAACGAACGGACATCCCCCGGACATCACCGGACGCCGTCCGTTTCTCGTCCATTGGTCCAATCCGGTGAAGTGTGACCGAGGCTTAGTCCACTTAGTCCACTATAGTTCACTTTTTACCCCAAGAGGATATTGCAAACAATAGGTTGATTTTTTTTTTCACAAGAATATGTTTCACCGATGGGTACTTTACAGCCTGAAAATGTACGATAAGATCTGCTAATTCAATTTGAAATGTGAAAAATGTGGAAACTTAGATTTTTTCGGAAAATTACTGGTGGGCCAAATCTTTGAGGCTGGTGGGCCATTTCGGGTCACTGGTGGGCCATTTGGCCCACCAGTTAACATGTTAGCCGAGGCCCTGTAAATTATTAGCAAAAACGTAGTTTGACCTATTTGAATTCAGACGACCCGACCTAAGTGTTTTTTTCAGCAAACAAACACCAATGTCATCCGCAATTGAGCTTAACTGAGGGATTACAACACAAAAATGCCAAAATGGAGCATATCTTTACAATTGGAGCTATTCGGACAAACTTACTTAGAACTTGTCGTGACCTCTAGATGACCTCAGGTCACTCGAACTTCAAAAACCTGGATGTATAGTACGTTATACAACTCGGTAAGCTGAGCGTACAAGTGAGCATACCCCGCCAGTTTGAATCAAATCGATGGACAACTCTAGATTTCATTGACAAAATAGCGTATTTTCAGTGCCACTTTGACCATGTACCGGTTTTTGTGACCTTGTGACCTGACCTGAAGCCACTGGAACACAAAACTCCCAGGACACGTGTCAAATGGCTGCTCCAAGTTGTGTTTGAAATTTGGTGGCGCTAAGTCCTGCGGTTCTTACGCTATGAACGATAAACTTAGCGATTCCGTTGCCGCTTAGGTATAGTCAAATTTTACCCTGCATTGTGCCGGTTTCGGTGACCTGGTGACCTGACCTAAAATGATAGAGACCTGAAATTATCAGGGAAGGTGCCAAAAGGTTGCCTCAGAGGGACTGCAAAATTTAGCAGCGCAACGCGCCGCCGTTTTTACGTTATTCGCGAAAAACATTAGGGGGTTGCATCAACCCCCTCGCCCCGCGAGGGTTAAGGGGAATAGTTTCTTTTCCTGACTTTTTTTTGCAATAGATTTATGAATGTTTATGCTCAAAATGATCAGCAAAAAAAACCTATTTATTAAAAATATGTTCTACCTATATTATAATATAGGCAGAACTACATTACGTATAAAATATTGTTTGACGCGGTCGCGGAAGCTTATTACGCGTTGACCCCAATTATATTGCATAGTTCAAACCCATTGGCTGTAAGCAGCAGGCTAATTGGCTGACGCTGAACTGGCTGCATTATAGGTATTTCTTCAATTAAGGCACACTTTCATCATAAAGGCACTTTTTCAGGACGAGAAATGGAATATCTTTGCCAAGGGTGATCGTGGCCCCTGATTTGTGCTTTTCTCAGCTCAAGCTATGGAACTGCTATTCCAGTCAAACCCCATGTTAAAAGTGAAGTATTTTCTTTAATGACCAATAAATTTGGAAAAAATAGGTGTATAAAAACTTTTAGGACACCCTGTAATTACCCAACGTCGCTGGCGGTACATGGTACGGTACACAATTGTCGCACAACTGCTATACGAGGCTCGAGATTTCCCCGCTAACCCCACAACAGATGCACCAACTAGCAGCGGAGACAGTTCAACATACACATCTGGGCGAACATGACCTAGCTTCCTTCGGTACCCTTCCCCCCCCCCCCCCCACACACACAGTACCCACCTGTTGAGCATCATCAGCTGAGATGTGGATCAGCGGTAGCTCTGTCCGCAGGTGCGTAGCTCCGGGGCCACTTCCGCCGCCAGCTGTTGATGTCGTTGTTGCTGTGTCCCCACAGCTACCGCCGTAGCCAATACAAGCCTCTTATGGGCCTCGTAGCCGGCGGCTAAGGTCACCACCACGTCGTCGCGCTTGACATCGTGGGCCGCGCCGACGATGTTCCCCAGCGCACGCAGCCGAGGGCCGTAAAAGCACGGGCACTCCGGCAACACGTGCGCTTAGGTGTCCACTGCTTCACCGCAGACCAGGCAGCGGCCAGCTTGGCATTCATTGTCGTTACATTAGGCGAACTCGGACATTGATATCCTCTCAATCCGGTGAAGATACTGCTCCGATCATCCCCAGTGGCCCGACCAGAGCTGATGAGTGTCAACAGCCTCCTCCCTGGTAGCGGCTCGGACCAGCGGTCCCTTATAACGATGCAGTACCAGCCAGTTGGACAGTCTGCTTGCCACCTCTCCCTGGTGGACCGCGCGACAACTCGCGGACGGACGTGAGAGTACGGACATCGACCTGGGATAGTCTGCTGGAACAGGCCAAACAAAATAATCATTATTGGTCAGAGGGTTGACTTCGCAGCCGAAAAAAGGCGCTGTACATAGTCAGAACGGCGTCCTCACGGGATAGAATATAATCTGTATGTCGCTGAGTGAAGGGCACCGCAACAGGACGGAGGTGAAACTTGGTAAAAAAGTAACACAAAATGTTTGTGTGAAGTGAGTTGTGGGGGGAGGGATGCATCGTTGGAAGACACCAGGGAGAGACACCGGGCTCCGGCGGCGCACGGCGGCTCGGCCAAGCGCACATCGTACAGGAGGCAGCGTGGGTCGTCCTCGCACGGCGCAGCCAGCCGAGCCGTCGCTTGCAGTCGCACAAGAAGCCACCCACAAAAAGTGCATGTGATGTTACTTCCAGGTAGCACATGTGGTCAAATTATAAGTTCGCTTTGGTGCTAAGACCTTTGCTTGCGTTATTTTCAATTCAATCATGATTCATGAATGGTATCTATTAATAAGATCTGATGACAAATTGTATTGTCATGGGATAAACAATGGGAACTATTTTTAATTATATTCTTTTAGAATGGCTACACGTGTTTCGACCAAAAATATCTTTTTCAAGCCTTAATATCCAAATGACATTATTTAAAACATTGGCCTAAATACATCTCATACAAGTCAATTAAGTGACATAACTGATAGTAAATTCCTTCGAAGAAACATGTCGCATTCTATGTCGCACCCCTGTACGCCAGATCCTTTTCAAGTAGCTGAGCCGCGTACCTACTGAGTTTCACTTTACCAACACTGCCGTTCAAAGTTGAAAGTGTAGAAATGAATGCTGCCTCTAAAGCCTGTCTATGTTTCTTTTGGAACTCTTTACACAAAATTGAAGTTCCGTTCCAGTCTGGAAGGTGACCTGCCGCGTCGACATGCTGTACAAATGCATTAGACAGTCTATGATGCCTAAGATCGCTCTAGTGCTCTTTTGTCCGCGTATCTTTGCCTCTAAATGTTTCGCCTATGTAACTTGTATCGCATGCACCACACGGAATTTTGTAAATCACACTGCCCTGGTTCTCGGTGGCTTTCTTCTTTCTTGACTGAACGAGGTTCTTGACCGTCAGACCGACTGGAGATGAAATATTGAATGATCCTTCCACAAATCTTCCTGTAACTTCAGCTTCCTTTGGCGCCAGTGTCAAGAAGTAGTAATTTTTGTCGTTTCTTCTTTCTCCTGCCCTTCTTCGAATTTTGATCGCCTTCTTTTCTGAACCGCAAAGATCTCAAAGACAAGAACCTCGCAAGTTTTGATGTCAAGGCGTTGTTTACCAACGTGCCTATAGCTGGGGCGACTCAAGGGCACTGGACCAGAACCCAGACATCATTCTGCCAGTGCCCAAAGCTGATTTCATTCGGCTAGTACGTCTCTATGTGGAGTTCGGCGCCCTCGAGTTCGAAGGCGCTGAATTCAAGCAGATTGACGGACTGGCGATGGGGTCGCCTTTGAACCCGGTACTCGCCTGCATATTTAGGAAACGGTAGAAGCAGATCACTTTCTACGCATAGCCGGAACCGATACTATCTGGTTCCGGTATGTCGACGACATCTTGATCATCACAAACAACGACAAGGATTTGATGTCTTTGCTTGGCCAGATCAACAACGTTCACCCAAAGATACAATTTACCTGTGAAGAGGAAGATAACGGCACGCTAGCATTTTTGGACACGCGTATCTGGAACCGTGGTAAAAAGGCGGCGTTCTCAGTTCACAGAAAGCCGACCAACAAAAATGACCTAATTCACTTCTACTCAGCCCACAGAAGCCGAACGAAAACGGAAGTGGTATTGGGCTTCTATCTACGGGCCTTTCGTATTTGCTCTAAACAGTTTATAAAAGAAGAGTTAGCCTACATCAAGAAAGTATTTATTAAGCTCAAGTACCACCAGGCCTCCTATATAGTTTAGAAAAGAAAGCTATCAAAATTCGAAGAAGGGCAAGAGAAAGAAGAAGCGGCAAAAAGAACTACCTCTCGGTACCGGCATCAAAGGAAGCTGAAGTTATAGGAAGATTTATGAAATGATCATTCCATATTTCATCTCCAGCCGGTCTGCCGACCAAGAACCTCATTCAGTCAAGAAACAAGAAAGCCACCGAGAGCTAGGGCAGTGTGATTTACAAATTCCGTGTGGTGCATGCGATAAAAGTTACATAGGTGAAACATTTAGAGGCATAGATAGCACAAGAGCGATCTTAGGCATCATAGATTGTCTAATGCATTTGTACAGCATCAGGCACATACCCATGATTTTGCCCAGGAGGGGGCCACCTGCTCTCAAAGGGGCCCCCTGCCAACCCAGGCAGGGGCAGTAACGGCGGAACACCTTCAATTAAGGGGGGGGGGGGGCACTGCCGACTTTTGGTTCCATTCTTTCCATGCAACGCCCATAGGGCTAATGTTAAAATGCCCAAATTAAGGGGTGGCACGGTACCCCGGTGCCCCCCGTTCCGCCGCCTATGGCAGGGGGCGTGCCCAGAACCTTTCATGGGGGGCTGGGTACAGTGGGCCCAGTCCTCCCTTGCAGACGGGCCCATCTGTAACGGTCTTAGCCCTAAGAAAATGTGGAAAATTGGAAGGCGAAAACGTCATTTTTGCCTGAAAGGTATGCATAAAATGCACATAATTTTATGAGCGATAGCGAGCGAACGCCCCAGAGTCGCCGGTGTGGGTCCCTCGCACTGGTCTGGGGCGCTCAATGGTGCCGGTGAAAGACCATCAGATGCAATGGTGTGGGGTCCTCACAGGCGCCGTTGTGGGGGCCTTAGGGCTTAGAGACACTGGTGGGGGCCATCATAGGCATGTGTGGGGCCCTGGGCTGAAAGTTACTCGTGGCTCTTCATAGGCCGACAAGGGACCCTCAGAATCCGGTCAAAAGCCCTCAGAGTCGCTGGTAAATGCCGTCAGATGCGCTACCGGAGGGCTCTCAAAGGCGCCGGTGTGGGGGCTCTTAGAGTCGCAAATGTGGGCCTTCAAGAGGCACTGGTGTGGGGCGCTAAAAGCCGCCGTCCACTGCTTGAATATGCGCTGAATTTAACGTTGGGGTCTATGAGCTGCGCGCCGAATGCCGTTCAGCGCCGAATGCGCGATTCAGCTGATTATTCGCCGGCTGTTGGGCGTCGAATCATGCGCTGACGACTCAAGATTACTTTACTTCTCCTGACGACTTAAACTACTTCAACTTTTCAGTGCGCACTAGGCATGGACGATTACGCGCAAAATACGCTCCTAACCAATGGACGGCGACCTTTAGAGGTGGCGGTGAGGGCCATCGCAGGCGCCGTTATGAGGGCACTCAGAAGCACTGGTGTGGGTCGTGGGGCCATAACAGACGGATGTGGGGCTCTTATAACTGATTCCTCATTGGCCAGCTAGGCCATCGGAGGCCGGCAAAGGTTCCTTAGAAGCGAGTGTGGGGCCCTTCTGGAGATAAGTGTGGCTACATTAGAGCCCACGAGTTGCTCTCTCAAGCCCTGCCGAGTCCTTTTCAATTGAAGGATGGTCAGCGTGGACCCTCTGCCGCCAATTGACACCACAGGGCCCCTCGGGCCCGGGGGAACCTAAACCCGATAACGGGCACATGCCCACTAGCCCCCTGGCTATGCCACTGAATCCAAGTGATCAGGGACCCCCTTAATCAGGGGCGTCTCAGGTGACTAGGGGACTTTCAACTGACCGGATCCCACTAGGTGACCAGGGGACCCTCTTATAAACAGGGGCCAGTTATATCAGGGGCACCTCGGGTAAATAAGGGCCTTCATATGGCTGCAGGGGCCTTGCAGATAACCAGACACTTCCCGGGTAAACACGGTCCATCAGGTGACCGACCAAGGTTACTTCAGACCACTGCCCAGTGGCCACCCAGGTGATCAAGGGCCCCGCAAGTAAGAAGGAATCATCATATAATCAGGGGCCCGTCAAATAACCAGGTACCCCTCAGATAGCTAGGAGCCCCTGATATTCAGGGGCCCTCATGTGACAGGTGGCCCCTCAGGTGACCAAGAGGTCCCTCAGCTGACCTAGAGGCCCATCAGGTGACAAGGGCCCCTCAGATAGCCAGCCAGGGGCACCATATATAGGTGATCAGGGGGGCACTGAGGCGACCAAGAGGCTCTTCAGGTGGTCAGAGGCCCTCAGATGACCAGGGGGCCCCAAGGTGACCACGGAGGTAACCAGGGGGCCCTCAGGTGACCAGGGGGACCTCAGATGGTCAGGATCCGCTCAGATGACCAGGGGGTTCTCAGGTGACCAGTGAGGTAACTAGGGGTCCCCTCAAGAGATCAGGGGCTCCTCAAGTGACCAGGGGCCCATCAGGTAACCAGGGGGCCTCTCAGGTGACCAGGATGTCCCTCAGATGATCAAGGGTCGCTCAGATGACCAGGGAGCCCCTCAGGTGACCCAGTGATGTAATTAGGGGGCCCCTCAGGTGACCAGAGGTCCCTCAAGTGACCAGGGGGCCTCTCAGGTGACCAGGAGGCCCCTCAGGTGGTCAGGGGCCCCTCAGATGACCAGGGGGCTCCTCAGGTTACCAAGGGCGCCTCAGGTGGTTAGGAGTCAATCAGTTGACCAGGGGGCCTCTCAGGTGACCAGTGAGGTAACCAGGGGCCCCTCAAGTGACCAAGGGGCCCCTCAGATGGCCTAAGGGCCCCTGAGGTGACCAGGGGACCCCTCAGGTAACCAGTGGCCCTCAGTTAGGAAGGGGCGCTGTGGGCTCGTCACTGTGACGGAATCCCTCTTCGATATTTTTTCTTTCTTTCGAGTAAAAGACGTTCTGTGATCTGTCTAGTATTGGAATTAAGGCACGTCCACCAGAGTTATCCCTGGACCGCAGGGGCCCCCTCGCGCCTTCGGCGCTCAGGGGGGGGGGGCATGGCCCCCCTTGGGTACATAACTGTACAGCATGTCGACGAGGCAGGTCACCTTCCAGACTGGAATGGAACTTCAATTTTGTGTTAAGGGTTG